ACCAATTTGTTAACCTAATTGATTCATATATATGCCAGGATCATAACCCTAATGGACATAGACACAAAGCTGCACAGGAGAACCAAGAACAAACTTGAAAAATTGTCAAAAAAAGTCAAAACTGAAATCATTGTTTTAGGTCGATTCAAAGCACAAGACCTATTCCATTAGCTTCCTTGAAGGCTCCTGAACGTATTCCAATCAAGCACAACCATCAAAACCTCAAGAATTGGTATATTGGACATGAACTGTACAGAGAAAAACTCAAAATCGTGCATCATGATTTAAGCATTTTTACAGCATTTTTTCCATTGATTCATGTTCATTATGATGTTTTGAAGCTAACCAATATGTTCAATTGCTTTTTTCTGTGCTATACGCGATTTTGCCATGTTTATTTTCTAGGGTTTTCAGAGCTTGGAATTAGGGCTTCTGAAATTAGGAAAAATTGAGACTCAAGGCTACCACCATTCAACTCAGCGCATGGAGACGATCTTGAAACACCCATCGCGCTCAATTTATGAGTGCTTGATAGCTAGTCGCTATTTTCTCAAAACTGACCTTAAACAACGCACATAAAACCGTTGCCTCATATTTTGTGTTTCAGGCACGCGAGGAAGACAAAGACGTGGCGAAACGTGATAAGCTGATTTAAATATTTCGCGCGTTTGAACCATTAACGTTTTGTTTCTTTTATATTATTTGTTGTTTATTTATTTAACGAATGAATTCAGTGGCTCAGCTGGCAAGCGTTGGTTGCTTCAACATCCAAGACCTGGGTTCGAGTCCCAGGTCTACATTATTCTTCATAATATTTTTCAATTCAGGTTCACCTGCTGTTCTACTTGCTGAGGACTACCATACACTTCATCATCTAGCCATCCACGTATCTAACAAATTCAAATCAAAGGTTGAGATTGGATGTACATCATAAGCTTGGTCAAAGTGTTAACACGCTAGTGGCAAAAGTCAATGGATCTGAAGCTTGTTGGGCCAGATTGCTAAGGCCTACACCTCCATATTGGGGCCTGAACCCCCCTGGTTTGCAATTTTCTATCTTTTTCTTCATATTTTATTTTTTCAATTATTGTTTTATTTGCTTTATTGTTTTAATTCAATTAATTATTTTTACCAAATATAAAATACATAAAAAAACTCAGAAAAAGATAAAAAATATAATGATTATTTATTTTGATATTTTCTTGTAAATAAATTAGCATGTAATTAATTAGTTTTAAATTAGGTTACAATTTTAATTCTTTTCATAATAAAATCTAAAAAATGTAGAATTAGGTTTAGTTAATTTTTATTCTTTTTTTTAATATTTCTTTTTCCCAATAATAATATTTATTTTATTTTTATAATTAAATTTGCATGAAAATAATTTAGGGTTAATTTAGGTTAAAAAACTTCAATATTTTTCTTAAAAACTTAAAAATAATTAGAACTAGGTTTAACATTTTATTTTAGTTTTAATTAATTCTTTTTCTATTAAATCTTAAAAAACATAAAAATACATAAAAATACCAAAAACAAGTTCTTTTCTTAAATTAATTAATGCATGTAATTTAATTTTTGCAAAAGGGTCCAACGCCCTCCTTTCGACTTAATTGTTTAATTTCGCATCTTTATTTTATTGAATAATTATGTATTTCTCCCAAGGCCTTGTAATTACATCTCGCACTTTTAATTCTTTACTTTTCTGTCAAATCGGGTCCGGTTTAATTTTGGCGATGTGGACCCGCGCCATTTGTAATAGCTTTAGATTTATTTTCCCTCGCGACTTTTAACTGTTAACAAAGCATGCAAGAATGAATGACCATAATAAAATCAAGCGTAGATCACTTTAATATGACAAGACAAAATATCTGAAAACGACACCCAAATCACACACCACCCCTAGGGTACGCCTCACTGTTGCCTTGCCTCGAAAGGTGATCGTCGAGTAGAGGATGTCTTAGTAAGTCCTCATGATCCGGGAACCTGGCATGAGGGTAGCTTCTAAGGTGTCTTCTCATTGCTCTGGTGATCACCATGTCCCTACAAACTCGAATTGACCCGAACACCTCCAACGGTGGTGCTACCTACCTCTCAATGATGGGATGGCACTACTTTAAAGGACATTTACACAGACGAATTCCTTAGGGTAGGTAGGTTCTCGTAGATACTTGCTCTAATCTCAAAACAAATTCAAAAAGACTTTTCACACTGACACCTTTTCAAAAAGCTTTCGAAAGCAATTTTTCAAACACTCTTGAGGACCGATACAAGAGTCGAACTGGAATTTTCAAAGAAACTTTTTTTTAAACCCACAGTTGAAAAGCAAACAAACCATTTTTGAAAACACAAGTGAGCAAGTATCTAAGAGCCCATGGATAACCATGGATAGAAAGGGTGCTAACACCTTCCCTTCCTATAACCTACCTCCCGAACCGAGAGCAATCTCTTTAAGGAATTTTTCTGTGCTTTTGTCCTTTCCATTTGGAGAAAATAAAAGACGGTGGCGACTCTTGCTTCCGCGACATTTCGCGAACCAGCGTTAAACAGTCAGTTCCAGATCCACCGATCACACCTACAAAGCACGGGAAACCAATCAATTGGGCGCGAAACCACACGCTCGCCATAACGGACGAGATGAAGGGCACGACAAACCACGTCGCTCCACGCGCGACTGCAAATTTGGTGTTTTGGAACAAAAAACAGCAGCCATCTCCCCGACTCCCAGATACCTCGAAAGGTCCTCCTACAAGTCGCCTAAATAAACCGATAACTCGGTCACTCATGAATACGTCGACCCAGGGTATGAACATGGCGAGCAAAATCATAAAGCCTAGAGCTAGAGCTATGAGTCTACCGGGCACGATCACGAATTAGGCGCCCTGGATCATGAGGACCCCGGGCAGCACTGCAGATTAAAACCTAAACTTTGCATTTACCGGGCACGAACATGCGCTTGCCGGACATACGCGTGGATTTGTCGAGCTAAATATGAATCTACCGAGCTAATCTTAGGCGTACGGTCTCTAAACGTCTAAAAACAATGAAAAATCATGCATCACAACAGAAAAACAAAGGAGACAAGTCACTTACTTGGAATCAAGAAGGAAATTTAACGACGGAGGAAAGGAATCAGCGACGGAGATCGCGGCGGTCCTATAAGAATATGGGAAGAACAACAACAGCAGAAACAGAGTGAAGAGGAGAAGCGCGAAGAGTGGAAACACGTTCTGGGGCCCAAGGACCCTATTTATAGTGATGACGTGGAATACCAAACGTCACCTCAGGCAACCACGGATTCCCCTCCTCGACGCACAGCTCCCCTAGGCAATGATGACCCTATCCTACATAGGGTGGCGGCGCAGTTCCCAAAAGAGACCTCGCGTGCTCGACAGACGCAGGCTGCCGAGAAATCCCTCGAGCATTCCTCGCAGGGAACCTGTCCACGAGCACGATACGGGGAAACCCTCGATTCCCCCATGAGGAGCTGCATCTCTTGTCCGGATACGGGGCCCCGCAACGGAAGCGACCTAAGATCAAGTCATGGCTCCTAACTCAAGAAACCACGACTTGGGGGGCTCATGTTCTGGACTGGGTCGGGCTGGCCCAAAAGCAACGATAAAGGCCCAATCCAAACGGACTTGCTAGGGGTCACGCCGACCTAAGGACCACAGCTATGCCCGACATACTTCACTGGGGCGACATCCTCGACCTCGTACTATCCAGCTCGACCTCAGCTCGAGCACTCCTCCAACGGCAGACACAGTCCACTACACTCTCCACGGGACCCCGAAAAGACCGCGTCCTTGTCCGCCCGCACTTCACGCAGGACATCCAGGAAGGGGACCACATGCGGGTCCCCACTACGCACGTAGAACCTGGCAGTTCCTCCATTGGGCCAAACCTGCCCGGCCCAATGAAGGAACCTTGACCCAGCGCTGGGGGCTATAAATACCCTCTGTTCCCAGAGGGTCAGGTATTCATTCTATCACATATACTCACACTTTGCCTGCTCGTGCTCTTACTTACTTCAGCATCAGAGTGCCTTGCAGGTACCCCCCACCTCGTTCAAAACTTCAGCTCGGAGCCAACCGTGACGGTCCAAGTCTGATCAGGTTAGATCAATAACCTTTTCTTTATATTATACTATTTTATATCTCTTCCTTTATTAGGACTAACCCATGTTACAAATATTATAATGCTAAATTAATTTATTCTAGAAATTCATTTTTTTTTGTATGTTAACAATTACTTTATATACCTTAATTAGTATTATTTATGGGTACAAAACGGTATAAATCACTATAGTTCTACGATATGCTATTGTCAAATAGCGGCATAGCGTATTCTAATTTCAAGGCCCAGAACAAGGTGGACATGTTTTGAAACCATCTTTATTTGTAAAATGTAGAGAAAAGAAGAAGGAAATGAGTGTGTATTAAGACCTGAAATTATCCTTTTGAAGGGATTCGATGAGGATAAGAAAGTTAAAATATTGTTTACGATTAACACATTTGGTTGAACATTCTCCCAACACCGCCAGTTCCTCAAATTTCAAGATTTTCTCTAACATTTTAAAATAAGTATCATTTAGAAAATTATATTGTATCATATGAACCACTCACATACAATGACATTGACTTTTGAACTTCAATAATAATTTGATAAAATAGAAGCGATAGTATGTAATCAGAAGTGTCTTGTCGGTGTCATGCGTCAACACACAATCAATTTGAAATGACAGTTTTACATACACTCACACATGATTTTTAAGAGGAAATATAATTTTACTTCAAACCCTCTTCCCCCTTATTTATGTTTCGATAGAAATCAAATATCTTCCGCGCACAATTTCTCAGACTAATCCCTCGAGTATGGAGGTCCCATTTTTTTTTTTATGTATAAATAAATAACTATCATCACTCACAGATCATTTTGCACATATAATTTAACTTATAACTAGCATGACAGTTAGCTTTTTAAAAAAGTTTCTTGTACAAGAATCAACCTCGATTTTCCAAAGCAAATGCAGCAGAATCAACATGTACAAGTAAGGAAGAATAAATTTTTTGCTTCAATCTGTCAATAGTCTCCACCAGTCCTTCGTTTTCTGAGTTTAAGCTACTTCTCAGTTTTTCTAGCCACTCATTTGCATGCTTAAGGTGCGACAACGTCACCGCAATGTGGTTGGCGCGCGCTGTATCTCTTCCTCCAATAGCCTTACTTTCCTTGCCCTTCTCTTCGAATGCCCTTGAAAATCCTGCATCCAATGTCTTTTCCAAGTACTTAATGAACCATAATCTTGTCTCATTCAAAAATACATCTTTGAGCTCATTGATTTGTTTCATACCATTCTCTTTGGCCCATTCTTGTTTTTCAGTCACTGATAATTCGGTTAAGGATTTTGGAGACTTCGACGTGTTTTTAGCATGCACTAAACCTGATTTTTTGCTATGTTTATGTTTTTCTGTAGGAGATTGAGTGCTATTTGATTGAAGTGATTTGGCTTTCGACTGAGTTGTAACGTTTGGCTTGTCTATGAGCTGTTGAAGTGCGAAAAACTTGTCCAGTGTGATGTGCGGGTTCTCTGATCCGGCAGAAGAGCAGATATTTGCAAACATACTGAAAAAGCACAAGAGGAGGTAAGTATTTGTTTGTCTCGGTCTCTAATTAACTAACGACGCGTTTCTTATTCTTATTGAAGTGTTAAAGTTTAGATAGAAACTTTACATACCTTAAGCATTTGACTATCTTTGCTGCTTCAGATGCTTCTTTTTGGGCTTCTATTACAACTTTAGAAGCTAGTTGTTTCCTTCTAAGAATACCCTTAGAAAAAGAAAATAAGACGGTCAAGCGAGAATGATAGTCTAATTTACCTCATTTGAGTTAGTCGAGTGAAGGAATCACTCAAAAAGACGGAGAGAGTGAAATTCAGCTTACCTTTCCAGGCCTTAAAAGTTTGGCTGGCAAAGTGGACCAAGAAATCGCTTCGGTGTAATTGATTTTATCTTGAGTATTGGACAAAAAGTTCGAGTTCAAATTTTCCTGTTTAGTAGAACTGCGCTTGAAAGAAGTGCTTTTCGAATGTTGCATGATTGTTTCCTGAATGTTTGATTGACCAGTGTCTTGTTTTGTTGAAAGTACTTCAAATCGCGTACGAGTTGAGCTCGTTGAGAGTACCTGTCGTCATGCTAAACTCAATCATCAGCACTAAACTTGATTTTTTCCCTTTAATTTCTAGTTTATATTTTTATTCAGTTGTAAACCAAGTTGCCGATAGCGCGCTATAGCTGCTATAGATCAAGAATCATACCTGACCTTGAATCTCTTGTTGCTTTCCTTTTATAGATCCCAATTTCTTACCATCCACGCCATTCTCCGAATCATTTCCTTTGCTTCCAACATTAGTATCTGTCACATTCGCTTTGGTATTTGGATTTAGAACACCCTTCATGTACCTTGATGCAACACCAACTTTTTCTTCTTTAATAACAATCTTCTGCCTTGAACTTGTATTCTCTTTGGCTTCTATGACATCCGCGGATTTCGAATCATTTACTCCGTTGTTATCAGAATGCGCTTTACCATCTTCTGACGACTCCAACATTTGCATTAAATCCTTAGGATTACCTTCAAAAGGGTGTCTTCCAGGAATAGGCCTAACCGCGACAAGAACCGGGACAGGCGTACCGGACTCAATCCGATCCACGTAGAAATATTGTCCAAGCTGCAACTTATTATTCAGAATAAGCTCATTGTCTTGTTTTGAAAGTGAGACATAGGTTGAATGAGAAGAATCTGATACTTTTATGAAGAAACCATGGTTAGGCCATAATTCAGAACCCGATAATGCGGGCACGATGCTGATTACTTGCAGAAGGACTGATCGGTGTTCGCCGCGGATTTTCACATTGGAGTTCATTGTTTGGAGAAGCTTTAGTAGAACTCCAGGTATGAGAGATGCCATTCTCCCCCCTTCTGTCCAACTCTATCTTAACTTGCAACTTTTATCTGTACAAATAATGTTGCAAAACATTTGTTAACTTAATTCTCAATCTTATAATTAGATCTTTATATGTGTGGATTTGTAGTGAGATTGACAGAATCGCGTTGAGACATGACAGTTTTCGTAAAAACTATGCTATGAAGTGTTTGAACAAAATTATGATGTCACCGTGATTCTGTCAAACTTACCGTTATCCAAACATGCACAAAACATGAAACTTAGGTTTAAAAATCGGTGTAAATTTAACAATCTTATTCCTGGTTGGATGAAGGGTCTTAGAGAATTTCGGAGGAAAAGTTTTTGCATTGATAAGATTATGTTTGGATTAATGGAAAATGATGGCATGAAGCGAAATTGCATGGAATCAGGTTAAGTTTCATCGTTTTGATTGGTAAAAAGAAGATAAAATGGAGCAATCTTGATGGAATGCATTCCATCACTTATCCTCATTTTTGTACCTTCTGAATTAGATAGAATAACAATTTTGTTTCATTCCATTCTAAAATATTCAAAACTAAAGACTAAAATGTCAATTATGCTCCCATTCATTCCACTCTTTTTCGTTTCATTTCATTCCACTTCACTCCGTCCGTTTTAAAATATCCAAACATAACTTAAATTTACATTCTAACCTATAGATAATAGGATGAGTAACTCAATTGGCTCGAGCTAGGTTCAAGTTTTAAGAAAGCTGAAAATATAAACTAACAATTAACACCTAAAAGCAAAGGAATAAGAACTCACCGTAGCAAAATTTGTCGGCACTTAATCTAAATTTGTCCAAAACAAACTTGATATCATGCACTTCTTCAATACCTTCAATCCTATACAAAGAATGTAGTTTAGAAATAGATATCATGAATATCAAATGCATATAATTGAAACCAAAGTTTGAGAAATCAAGAGAATAACTAAAGGTAACCAAAATATTAAGTGAAGTATTTTAACATACCTAAAAAGAAAAACTGTGGGAACAAACAAATTGCATGATCATAACACTATACATTTCTTGAACATGAGAAATTTGAACTTTACGAAGAAGATGTAAAACTTTGCATTGCAATCAAGTAACCATCGAATTCTCCTTGGCTTCAAAGCTAAGTGACCATTATATTACTTTACTTAAGCGTGACAAATATGAAACACTTTGGTGAGACACAGATTGACATATTAATTAAGTTTTTTGTGTGTTTATGTGTGTGCTAAAGCAATTTAACGGAAATTATGGTATCTAACACTCTGGTTGTGGGGCTCAATGTGGTAATATTTCGTTTTTGGTTAGAGGCAAAGTAACCTTTAAAAAAAGTAAGGATATTCCCATGTCAATTTCTTGTTTTGATTTAACTTTTCTCATTTACATTTTGACATGTATTTAAGTGTAAATTAGTTTGTCATATATAAAGTTGTATTTTAATTAGTTATTGAAAAGTTATATTTTATCTTCGCACCAACAAACACAAAAAATAATGTGGCACTTTTCAAATATGTCATAAAAAATAATAACATGATAAAATCTTATTAATCAAAGATGTTAAGTTTTTTAACGAATTTTTTAGAGGTAAAACTAAGATTAATTTAGTAATTATTAATATTAATTAATTTATTTATTATTAACTAACACTACTCATTCTTATAATTTAAAAATTTATTTATTATTAACTAAAATCAACCATTCGCATGATTTAAAGATTAATTTATCTTATTAATTAAAATTGTTAAGTTTCTCAATTTTTTTTTTAAAATTAAAACTAAAATTAATTTAGTAATTATCAATTTTATTTATTTATTATTAACTAACACCACTCATTCTCATAATTTAAGGATTTATTTTTTATTTTTATTTATTATTAACTAAAATCAATCATTTCCATGATTTAAGAGTTAATTTATTTATTAATTATCTAAAATTGTGGCAAACTTATTTATGTATTTATTTATTTTCTAAAATTGTGAATTTCATTTCAATATTCTGAAATTTAATTATTTTTTTCCACGAGTCATCTTCACAATTTATTTTATTAATATTTATTATTTGTTTTATGTGGCGAACTTATTTATCTTAATAATTAAAGTTCTTAAGTATCTTAAAAAACTTTTTGGAGTTAAAACTAAGATTAATTTAATAATTATTAATAATTATTTATTTATATTTGTATTTATTATTAATTAAAATCACTCATTTCCATAATTTAAAGATTTATTTTTTATTTTATTTATTATTAACTAAAATCACTCATTACTAGAGGTGGCAAAATGGGTTGGATCAGTCCGTTTGATCCACCATTTTTGGCGGACTGTGATGAGGTTTTCGGCTCGATATCTTAAGTTGGTCCGCCCAATCTAAACCGCTTTAAAAGCGGACTTAGGCGGGGCGGGCCCATTTTGCCCGCGGACTTTTTTTTACAACTTTTTACTTTTTACTTAGAATTATGACAACTTTAACTATAAAAACAACAATATTCTCTTTGGGTTATGGTGATTGAATTACATGTTAAATTATTATATAGACAAATTGAATTATAATTATAAGGTTCTTTATATAACTCTCTAATATATGTATTGGTTGGAAAAACTTGAAATACAAGAACAATCGTATGTCATGAAGAATTATTAAGTTGTCAATACATTAGCTCACATCCTTTCTTTAGAAACAAATATTAATTTTAAGAAAATAAAAATTCGATTAGAGTATACATGTGACTAATTTAATATATAATTATTAAGGAATCAGTCAATATAATAGTCTATATGATGTAAACAATATGAGAAAGTCAGGTGTTAATATTTTTTACACTACTATTTTATACACTGTGATGTTTTATGCATTATAATATTATCATTGTTTGTCTTGTGCAAATTATTAATTGAGTTCTTTTAGTAATGAGTTTTTAAATAGGATTATGATGATATGTGTTGTTTATTTATTTATTTAGATATATTTTTTTATCGTATCTATTTCGATATGTTTTTTTTTAAGTGTTCGGACTTACGATAGGTTGAAGTTATATTACACGTTAAAAAATATCTTTTGTAGGCTTCTTTAGTAATGATTACAATTTTTGTAAATTATGAAATAAATTAAATTGTAAAATAAATAAAAAAACTAAAAGCCCGCAAATCCACCAACTCATTAGTAAATGAGACAGACTTGACTTTTGAGTTCGGATACCTAAGTTTATCCGCCCCGCTCCACCCCGCTTTCGTACGGGCTTAATCGGGATGGACCTAAACGGGGCGGACCGCCCACTTTGCCACCCCTGCTCATTACCATAATTTAAGGATTGATTTATTTATTAATTTTATAAAATTGTGGCGAACTTATTTATTTATTTATTTCCTACAATTGTGGATTTGAAAAACTATCATTTCAATATTCCAAAATTTAAACACTTTTTGCACAACCCATTTTCATAATTTATTTTATTAATATTTATTATTTGTTTTATGTGGCGGACTTATTTATTTATTTATTTATTTCTTAAAATGTGGATTTGAAAAACCATCATTTCAGCATTCCAAAATTTAAGCATTTTTTGTCACGAGCAATCTTTATAATTTATTTTATTAATATTTTTTATTTTTTCTATGTGGCGAACTTACTTTATCTATTTATTTATTTATTTCTTAAAATTGTAGATTTGAAAAGCCATCATTTCAATATTTTAAAATTTAAGCACTTTTTACCACGAGCCATTTTCAAATTTATTTTATTAATATTTATTATTTGTTTTATTATTAACTTTAAAAAAAATTTATATTCTCAGTTACATTATCGTTTTAATTTAAAAAAATTAACTTTTTAATTGTGTTTTTATTTGACTTTAAAATATATAAATTTAGTTATCACGGTCAAGTTTATCTTCAACTAATTATACTACTCTTAGTTTTGGTTATGTTTTTAAATATAAATTTTGACATCACAAAATGCATTTTTTATTATAAAAAAATATTGTTGGTAAAGTTAAATTATGGGAGAGTGTAGCTTAAAAAACTCCTATTTTTTGATATTTTTATTATTCTTATTTTTTTATGGTTTAAAATTATAATATTTTTGTTAATATTTTCGTCTCAAATATAAACAAAAACTAATCAAATATAATTCATATGTCCAATCATTGACATAGTAAGCTATAGCACTAGGTTTCAAACTTTTAGGACCTAATTTTTTTATTATTACATAGAGAAATATTTTAAAAAAACATACAACATCAAAAGCACAAATTTGAAGTCGTTATTCAAAAATAATATTTTGGAGACATTATAATATAAATGTTTAATTGATGAATTTGCTTCAAAAATGTATTTAGTTCATGAATTTTCTTCAAAAGTGTTCGAAGAAAGACTCTTTTTAAACATTTAGAAACTTTAAGTTGTATGAAATGATTTTATTTATAGTTTAAATAATATTGGCTTTTTTAATGCTTCGTGTATTAAATATATAATTGTATTTTTCGTACTCATTTTTAATTATTAAAATTGTACTCTTAAAAAAAATAATTATACCTATTTTTAAAACTAGAATCGAATATTTGAGTTGATTCGATCGACCATAATAATTGATATATTTGGTTGACCATTACACAATAATTCTTATAAAAAGACTTATGTCACAATCAAATATTTGTCTAATAATTCTTATATACTTAACAAATCTAACTCTCGTTGTTATGCGACATATTTTGTAAGGAGTTACAAATTAATTTTATTTTCTTAAGTTATAAAATATCTCATAAAAATCTATAATTTTCATAATTACTTTCTATTATCATTTATGATGTTTTATTTTTGTTTTTTTTTCTATTTTAACTTTACGATACTATCTTCTTTCTAATTCACTTATTTTAAATTAAGCTGAAATATATTACTTATAAGTGATTTATTTAACTTATTAATTATTTTTATGTAATTTTTGTTTGAAATGGTCAGATCTTGAAAAGAAATTTGATGTTTTAAAAATATAT